AATCTTATCCTCGTATTACATTGCAAGGAATTTTGTTTCGTAATATTTTTCGACGCGTAATAAACAAATCTAAATATTATCTAAGTATTTTTACAAAATAAATAAAGCAAGAATATTTCGTTCAGTAAGCATAAGTAAAAATGATCTGAAAATATTCCCAAGGAATGAAATCTTGGTGTTATCAAAAGCTTGAATGAAATATGATAAATAAAACTCAGACGAATGATTCATACAAACAAATTTGACGATACTCGGCAAACATAAATAAACTCATGTCAAATTTAGTCGTTTCAGCATTTAGGGTATTTTTATCTCTCGCTGGTGGTGCAAAAATTCTAATCGTATACCATAAATAATTTTTCGCCTCATTCTACCTTCCTTAATAATCTTTTCTTTTCTTTTTAATTGAATTTTCAATTCATTAATTTTTACATTTAACTTCAATTAAGTAGAAACTAACCTTATTTTCGACGCTACAATTCACTTTAGAAAAAGGAGTTTGTTGGATTACAGACAAAACATGTACATAAATACCCGAAGAAAGTAAAAGAAAGCTTGTAAAAGCGCGTGAAATAATTTTGTATAGTTAGTTTGTCTAGAGGCGGACTTTCTCGTTGCACATTTTGGATAACGTTAAATTTATGTTTAAAGGAGCGTGCAAGAATCTAATAAACCCTGCGCGTTAGATTTTCACTTTTTATGGGTTTTATACGTGGCTGTGGAACGAGAGAAGGTCGATTTCAACAGGTGGGCTTTCTAAGTTACGCGAGGAAAGGTGAATGAGACGGAAAACGTTCAGAAAAGATACATCGACTATAATAAGCGGAATTCCATTAGATAGAAATAATTACCCTCGAATAATTCTAATACACGACACGAGTCAGAAAGAAAATTCAAATATCGACGATATTTCATACTTTCAAAGGTAAACAGATTATTGTAAAAAGGTAATTCACACTAACGTAGTTTCTTACATTTCGTACACACGAAGTTACTTTTAAAAAATAATTTGCTTCAACTTGAAATTGTACAATAAAACTTTATACACGTGCAAGCTTTCTTTTACTTTCTTCCGGTATTTAGAATTCTCAAGGTAATTCGTAAATGAACGATTAAAATATTTCAATTATTGAAATTATTAAAAATTCAACATTTTAAAAAGATCGTAATATTACATTAAACGTGTATTGTTCTTTTACATTTAATATTTGAAAAGATTTTATTAAGAAGCAATGTGTAGTATATTCAACGTTAAAGAAACTGTTGTATTAAAACGAGTAAGTAATAGAAATAATTTAGATAATGAGCAAGATTTTAATTATATTCTCGAGAAATGCATGCCTGTCGAGAGTAATATCGATTAAGGTTTTGCGGATGGTTAATATGTATCTTTCGGTGCATATAGTAAACAGTACATACCATGATTCACGAGGATATATCGCGTCTCTAACTCATTTCCAGAATTACTATCACCGCGAGTTAACCGCAAAGACGGCTTCAACGTATCCCACACATGATACATATTCACTTTCATACTCGCGATAAATATCACTTTCAAATTTCTAATCGACCGGTAGGCTGATCTGTTATTAAACGGATTTGCGTTAAAGAAGTGACGGTATAGCGAATTAAAAACGCAATTTGGAAATTTAAGTCTTCTGACATTTTTTATTTTCCCCCTTTTTCCGGTTTTCAAAAGTGAAATTGTGTACAAGTAATAAATATTCGAACAACTAATTTAAAAAATGTATATATAATAATAACAACAATAATGTCTTGTATTATCTTCAGAATGTCAAAAAGATTTTTTTAAATTGTCCCAACAAACTTTTATTCGAATATTTACAAATTTATCATGCACAGAAAACAGTAGATTATTTTCTGAGAATTACTTTCACTTTTAAAAATTGAAGATTAATAAAAAGAAATATAAATTATATTATATTCGCGTTTGTATGTTTTATTTACAAAAAAAAGAAAAATAATTGAATTTTGTTATTAACGAAATTCTCTAGGAAAATTGTAGCCACGTAATGTACGAATAAACGTGTATAATTTTTTGACATCAAATGGAATGGTAATGCTGACCGTGACCTTCTAACCATAATGCACCTTATAAGGTATTATGCTATTGTGAAAAACGGCCATTACTTCGTGAGCTAATTCGATCATCGATGAAATGATATAACGTTGTGGTCACGTTAATGATTCGACGCAAAAGCAAAAGGAAATACATATTTACTTCTATACTAGCGAACAGAAATGAAAAAAAAATAGCATAGAAAACACATTGTAAACATAACATTGTGTTTCTCGGAATTAGAAATTTACGTTTCATCGACCTTTTGCATTCTTCAAGCTAGGCTATTGTGTTGCACACTTTGTAACAAAAGTATTTCGCAATTACGAAATCTTTTCGGTAGAGAAAATTTATTTGTAATATACTTTCTTCTCTTTTAACGCTGTCGTACTGTTTCTGATTACAATTTTCTATTAAATTATTCATCTTACAGAATTATCCATAAATGCGTTCCCCTTTCGCCTAGGTCATTATAATAACTAATATTTGAATAATAACCTCTATTTCCATTAGCATATTATAATACATACAGAGTTATATCCCACGTGTCGTAACATAATATTCTCCCTACATTGTTACTACAAATAATTTGCAATTCTATTTTTAAACTTGAATATTTGTAAAAAAGTCATTCTTAACCTAGGGCCATTTGTACCCGTTTACAGGTAATGTCGAAGCACTATGTACCAGTCGGTAAAAGTGGTTCGCACAAAATCATGCGGAAAGACAGTACGTACGTATACTAACAAGGAATGTGATAGCGTGGACCCGAGACTAAGAACGTGGTGAGAGTACGGAAACTTGGATAGCCGCCAATTTATACAACATCCAAACGGTTGAGCTACGAGGATTTTGCTCCTTTCGAGTTCTTTGACTGATTCAGCGTAAAGTAGAAGCCACGTAACTTACATTCAACAAACACTTTTTCCTCGAGGATATAAATTGAATTGAAGCTAATCCGAAATCAAACAGCAATTTTTGTTCCATCTGATGGTAATGTACTCTCGAAATTACCATTGAATTCTTTCCTTTCTATTTCACACGAATTACGTACGATTCTATCCATTATTAATTTCAAGTTAACACTAATTAAACCAATGTGTATACGTCATGTCAGAATACCGATTAAAGTCAACGGTTAGAGTAAGTTAGAATAACGAATGACAAGGTAGACAGGTTGTGCTTATAGTATACGTTTTCTAGTGAAAAATTCTAGATACGTAGCAACAGATAAATGTGATTTACGATTCGATATTTGATCTATCAGTCAGGTGGAAATCGAAGGTAAAACTATCGACCCAATTCGTCTCTGCTTCTTTGCCAAAAGCATTACGTACTGACAACACTTTTTCAATGTATTGGGACTACCTGTTAAAGGAGACGAGCTAAAAAAATTTCCGCTACTTACTATAGGTAAATCGCGTGATTAAGTTACAAGAGGAAAGAATGCGAGGTTTGTTTCAGAGGTTGATGTTTCATCCAGGAAACGAGTTTACTTGGAAAGGATAGGCGAATGATATGTATCCTAGTATATATAATAATTTTTCTAATAATACCTACGATATCGTTTTGAATTATGTTACATTTTAAGACATTGTATGTGGTAAACAAGGAAAAGAATGTGATCTACTTTTCACAGAATTTGTCAAAGGTGACTTTGACAAATGTTAAATATACAACGTATGTGTAGTTGATATTTTCATTAGGAAATTTTCAGGAATGTTTTATCAAATTGTACGAAATTGGTTAAACGACAGTCGTACATAACTGTTTTTGTGTTAAAGACGAGACATGTGAGTTCATTGGCGACAATCCTCGTACAATCTGTCGGCAATATGTGCGACAATTTGACAAGCGCAAAAAACCCTCGTGAAACACGCGCACTTTCTGCATGGTGTGTTCTTACTCACCGAAAGCAATTCCTCGAGGCAAATGAACCGACGAGCGGCGATATCCTTTCGGGGCACCGAAACTAACCAAAAATCGTATCCCCGTGTACGAAGCGAAACCAATCACGACACTGTATCACTCACTGAATCCGCAAACGGCGCGCGATCGGATGACACTTTCGACGCGCGATTTTACGGCTGTGGAATTTCGTCACGTCGCGCCTTTTCTCAAGAAACGGTACAAACGCTCATATTGCTGCTTCGCAGAGTGAATTACCAGCTTCCCTCTCTGACCAGCAGCGATGGGCGTGGTTTAACTCCGTCGACACTCGAACAAATACGAACGTATACGAGTATCCTGCATTGGTAGACAGCTCGGTCGATTCACATCCATGCAAGAAATTTATAGCAAATCAAATTTGCGCGTGCAATTTAAATAAAATATTTATTAAGCGAAACTATAAAACTATAGGAAATGATTAAATTAATGAATTACTGGCATTATTATATTTCGTAAGCTAATTTTACTTTACGAGTTTATATTAGGTAAGAAGAACATACGTAATATTGTAATTCACGATATATTTAAAAAAATATAAACACTGTTTACATTTACTGTTCTATTGTAAAGATTTTGGTAAAATAATGAATGAAAATAGCACACTGATTATTGACTGATAATTTTGTAAACTCTTCGTAATAATATTTATCAATTATAATTATTGTAACTTGAATAGCGTTTTAGTTCTATGTGCATGGTTGAATAAAATAAATGTAACGTCATCAAAATGGCTGGGAAAATTTGTTTTAGCGCGAAAGCTAAAAAATATTTTCGTTTTATATTTTCATCACTGGTTTATTCTAAGAACATACTCTCCTTTTAAATACACTTAATCCAAGAACATAATAACAGTACATTACAGAAACAAATTAATATTCGCTTATTCTTTGTACAACTACTTGGATTAGTATGAAACATTTATCGTTGCTGCTTATCACGTCGATTTTGTACAAATGTGAATAGTACTTTACTATGTCTCCAAAGAGTCTTTGCTATATAATGTCAGTTTATTAAAATATATTTTATAAGTGTTAGCTTAATATACTGTTAAATATGCATTCACACGTGCTCCCAAATAAGGTATAACTTCGTTTAAAATGAAGATATGTTTATATTATATATTGTTGTAATGTACACGTTAGCCATGCTTACACAAATATAACCTTCAAGAACGATAATTTTGTTGAAAAAACATTTATATAACTTAATGAACATTGTATTACTTTTAAGTGTATTATTCGTTATTGATTGCAAGCAATTCTTAATTCGTACAATAGTCCGATTATTATTTTTGAGGGGAAATGATCAACTGTACTTGTTATATTTACATTATTTAACCTGTTTAAGTAAATGCCCATATGTTTTATTTTAGAGTGAAGATGAGATGACTGTGGAAGAAAAATGGAGGTAAATACTAATATATTTCCAAAGTAATTAGAATAATTTAATGTATATAAAAAATAATATTTTTGGTACTAGAACTACATTTCTTATGCCAAACCATATATAAAAATGACAGATTGAGTTTTGCAGATGTTTATTCATTTCTTATATGTTATTTATGATTTTTTCATTCTTTTATTTTACAGTTGTTAAAATGGATTATGCATAATAATGAATTTCTTTTTAATTTTAGGGTACAACATATAAGGATGCATGAGCAGCATCAGGGACATGAGTCAATGCATGCTGAAATGCTACTTATTTTATTATTGACATTGTTAATAGCACAGGTTGTATTAGTTGAATGGAAAAAAGTACATTATAAATCATATCAGGTTAATGAAAGTTCATATTTTCTAATATAATGTAAAATGCATTTTTTCTTGGTCTGTTTCAAACATGTAATACCTGTTTTTAGCTTGTTACTTTAATTGCTATGTGGATTATTCCATTTGGATTAAGTTTAAAAAATCATTGGTGGAGGTTTATATTTTTCTGGTTAGTAACATCTTGTATAACAGGACTGATAGTAAGAAAAGCTATTCAGCAACCTATAGCAGGTACAACTCCAAGGTAAGTCTATCTTTATAAATTTATGCATAGTAATGTGTTAAGTATATTAGTGAATTTGATAAATTTGTAATTTGTGCATTTGTATAAATTTAATAATTCACTAAATCCTTTTCCTTGTAGATTGGTGTACAAATGGTTTCTTTTCATATATAAGTTAAGTTATATATTGGGTATTATAAGTTATGTTATAATGGTGGCCACACTGTTTGGATTACATCTTGTATTTGAAGTCAAGGCAAATGTATGGATAGATTTTTGTGTTCTTTTGCTGTTTTATGGTCTTTATTTTGGAGTGTTAGCACGAGATATTGCAGAGATATGTGCAGATAAAATGGCTTCACATATCGGAGTATGTATAAATGAATTAAGTATTATATTTATGATACATTTTAAGCAAATAATGCAATGTATTGAATAATTTTCAGTATTATGTGCCAGGCCATATGCCAACAAGAACTTTAGAACCCGGTGTGTGTGCAGTATGTGGAAATAGACTTTTAGTGTCAGAATATGAACCTGGTGTTATTGAGAACACATATAAACTTAGTTGTGACCATGTGTTTCACGAATTTTGTATCAGAGGATGGTGCATTGTGGGAAAGAAGCAAACGTGTCCGTATTGCAAAGAAAAGGTTGATCTTAAGAAAATGTTTTGCAATCCGTATCCTTTTTTAAATGATCTCCGACATTATTGTAATTCGCCTTTAATATTTTTTTCATATTATCGATGTCTATTTATGCCTTAATAATGTATAAAGATGGGAACGACCTCATGTTTTGTATGGCCAACTGTTAGATTGGATCAGGTGGTTAGTTGCTTGGCAACCATTAGTTTTGTTTCTCGTTCAAGGTATCAATTGGGGCCTAGGCCTCGAGTAAGTAGTATTGTAATAGGGTAATTGAATTGCACTTAGGACACCATTCTGTTTCTGTAAAACTAATGATTTATTTATGTAAACAAGTCTCAGTTTGTATTTTTATATACATAGACGCTATTTGTTATTTATAACAACGAATTCTATTTCGAATTACGTAATTCCAGTCTAACTTGTGATTAATCTTTTAATTAAATTCAATGCCAACGTTTGCTAGCATGGATAATGTAAAAAAATAAAATGTTACTCCTGTATTTAGTTAGATTTTTCACGATTTATGTAACACCTATTGATAGTTCTTACAAAGAAACTTTTTTTTACTATGTATATGAAAGTCTTCATATTCTCGTTTAATTCATTTTATACAAAAATAATTTTTTTTTTTTAAATGATTGTATGACACTCATTACAAATGTATTTTAATTTAAATGTGCATTTTTAAATACGCATATGCATATAAACCATAGTTATCCGAATTAACTGAAATTTACTCATGAATTTCATAAACGATTCCGCGTCTTATATAATAAAAAAAACAGAATTGACAATTGGAAAAAAAAGTTTCGTTTTAATTTGTACTTTAGTATTGACGTATGTGGTGCAAAAATTTAAGTGCATCGTGTGAATGTTTTCTAAAGGAGTTCAATTCGGATAATCTATATTGAAACATTTCATTGTATTATATGTGTAAAAATATTTTAAATTGCTACGAGGGTGATAGGAGCTTACTATATCATGCTTTTGTCATTCTACTCCCCTACTCAAACTAGTCAAAGATTGCATTTTAGTTAATCAAATTACATTTTGTGTGGTATACTTATTATCAATAATAGTTTTTGAAGATATGCACTAACTGTATTCTGCCTAGTGTTAATGGAATCTGTTGCTAATTGTAACTACATTTTTTGTAAATTTTAAGCCTACGAAACCGTTACGTACATTAGAATAAATTAAAATATTTCTTAAAAGCTGGTTCGATAATTATGATCTCGCTTTTCTATATCAAAAAAGAAAAAGGCTTTGTTTAACAAAATAATCTCTAAAAGAGGCAGGTTATTAGAAAATATTAAATGCAGTATTTCTCGACCAATAAAGAAACAGAATTATATTTAGCAATAGAAGTAAATTACTTGTGATATTCCTATAAGTATTACGTCGGATATTTGCATTTATTTCTATATTATAAAATATTTACAAGTGCATTATCATTCTTTTTTGTTCTATTATTTCTACTAGCAAAACGGTCTTGCTATCAAATATTTTCATACGCAAAAGAAATAGTGAAATAGATAAAAAAAAAAACGTTGGAATATTTCGATTTTTAATTTTAGTAAAAGTCATTATGTTAGATAGTACGTGCATATTTAACAAAATTAGCATAGTAATGAATCGTTGGAATAGGTTTTTTTTTTATGATTGTCGAACATGTTCTTACAACAAAGCAAATTGCTCAATTTTGAAAAAGTTGGTGCGTATCGTCGCCATTCGTAAACATTAAAATTTTACAAAAAAGGAAGCATGTGCGTATATTGTACTCTTGTAAAGTAAAGAAAAAACTGTACGCATATTGTACAAAATGATACTTGAAGATTCGATTATGCGACGATCAAATTTTGGATATCGTCTAAGAAAAAAGAAAAAAAAAAAACATACAGAACTGAACGAATTTCTTTTTTATCATTTTCATTTTATAAACGAACAGAGGCAATTGCGTGACCATTGTAAATATTTCAAAGGGAATTATACAAACTGTAGGAATCGAAGCATAAGAGAACGTTGTTCCACAATAAATGATGTACAAAAAACATACCAAGTTCATGTAAAATTTATTTCTCATCAATAAAGATTATATAAAACAGTTGATCGGTAGGAACTGTTAACAATTAGAATTTACTTTTAACCACAGGCGTCAGATCTTTTTTACCATTCCATTGCAATCTCTCCTCGACTCATAGTTATTTCCATACGGCTAAGTCAAACAGAACACAATAGGCTCGTTTTCTAACTCGTTTCACGTTCTTTCTAACTTTTCCAGAGTAACGGAAGATTCTAACTTTGACAACGGAAACGTGAACACGACGAGTCTAGGGATCGATATACGTTAATACCTATAAATCCTCGTCCATCAATCGTACGTATCGTATTTTGTCACACGTAACCGAGTTAAATGGAAAAAATCCAGCGTGCTCGTTTTATAATTTGGCCTTAATTGTTGCAAAGGTAACAAGCGCGTGCCGAGACAGGTGCGAGATCTAAAGGGGAGGATGTGAATCTCGTTGGACACGCATAGATAGAATCCAACTGCGGGCTTATACGAAAAGAGAGAGAAAAAAAAAGAAAGAAAGAATGAGTAATGACAACTCTGTCAGTGATGTTACTAAAAGTCTTTAATTAATAATTCATCATTATTCGTTAGCAAAAAACAACTTTTATCACATCACGCATTCATAGGTACTTCTTCTTCAGACCTTCGGACTTGTTTAGCGAGAGCACCAGATACATTTTATATGTATATATTCATTTATACACTTATTACTAAAAACCTCTCGCTATTGTCGTGGGGGAGAGAAACTGTGCGACAGGTGAGATACAAGGCAGGCGAGGTGTGGTGAGAAAGAACATTTAACAGACGTGTTTTGTATAAAAACACGGGGGCCTGAACACGGATTTAAGAAAGAAAAAAAAAAAAGAGAGAAAGAAGTAAAGAAAAAAACAGATGACAGAGGTGTGAAACAATCGGTTTTAGACAAAGTTTTGGCTGTTTGGTGGGTTCAGACGCCACGAATACGATGGGACTGAAGGGATGGGTCAAAGGGCAGACAATCACAAACACGGGGAAATTTTATAGATATATTTATTGAGTACTTAGCGTGTAAGAGTATAGAATATATGTTACCTTATCAGTTAAATATCATTACATGGTAATCATTATATAATGATGTAGTCTTTAAAATAAACCTCGCGCGGACAGACTGCGCGTGTTGTGTGTGTTTTCTTTTTTTTTTTCATTTGTGTTGTTGTAGAGTATTTACATAATGATCGCAATAATTAATATGTACAATTCTTCACGAAAGGACAAAACGGAAAAATTACAGAAGAACGGACGAACTGCGATGAGCGCCTATTTAAAAAAAAAAAAACGCGGCTTGATAAGAGGCGTCCCATGGAACCTTCCTCCTATAATATTCAGTTTTTTTTTATTCATCCGTGTTCCGCGCTCGCCGACAACGAATCGCGAGGAAGGAATCATTGTTGCTTGTTTATTGTTTTCCTATGTTTTCCATCTTTTTTTTTTCCTTTTTCTTTTGCGTTCCTTTCGTTTTTTTTTTCACATCGCTTTTAGATCAACCGTACTCTATACGAAAAAAGTATAAAGGGCGCTATTATCGCGGTGAGTTTTTTGTTTTTCGTTTTCTTTTGTCGTGTGTATGATGTGTGGCTTTCTTCTGCACGGAAACTATCGCTATCGATACTTCTGCGGTTACCCTAAAAAAAAAAAATCGTCAACATCGATGTTGCGGTTATGTCCGATTCTTGCTTGATTCGTCGACCCTTTTGTCTCTACGAGCAATAGGAAAAAACAAACCGTTGCCATTTCGATTACTGTATAAATACACATGAGACACAGTCTTCCCGCGCAGTAATCGAAAATGTCAACGGAATAATTAAGAGAAAAAAGAAGAAAGAAAAAGAACGCACCGAATGTTCTCAACGACGACGACGTGCGTTCTTTTTATATTGTATATGTACAAAAAGACAAGCGACACGTGCGAACCGATCGCCAAGGTTTGCCTCGTGTCGCTTTAGGAAAAAGGGAAAAACAACGAGACACACCGGTGACGAACAAAATTTCTAATACTCTCTCATATAGTCGCTGATCGTGGGCGACGACGCGAGGTCTTCCAGGAATTCTTTTCTTCGAGAATTCGTTCGTTCGAAGTAAACAAAAATAAAGAGGAGAACGAAAAAAACTACGCGCACGATTTCCCCTCAGCTATCGTTTAACACAATTCGTTATATATTAATTTATTATAATAGCTCTCGCTCATTCTTCGTCACTCACTCACACTTTTTCCTCACGCGAACACGCTTCTCTTTTTCACCTGACACGACTGTCTCTCTCACTCTCTCTCTTTCGTTCTTTCTTTCTCTCATCCAGACACAATAGATCCTTTTTTCTCTTCTTTTAAAGAGACATACACGATAGTTATGAAGTATTGCTTTCTTTTAGTCGCGTGCCGATCGCGGTTCGCCCTCCAACCGAGTCACAGCGGACGGTTTCCCGTCGACGGCGAAGATTCGTGTCGAGCATAACAATAATTAATTTCGCACCCTACCACGGGATGGAGCCTCTGCGAGAATTCTGCGATCTCTCACGTATGCGTGTGTACGAACGTAAAACGTTAATTTTTCCACGTGAATAGAGTAAGATCGACGAATTAAGTAACAAAAAAAAATAACACGTTCGTTGGAACTTTCATTTATTCATCACTGTGGACGTATTTATTTTCGTTTATTCTTTTATTCTTTGCTTTTACACGGGCAGAATTCTCACGGTTGCTGTTTCACTCGAAGGTGATCAATGCGCTAAGCGTAAAGTTAACTCGAGTACACAGGACCTTCTTGAACGTCGTATCGTTTCTCTGTTGGTTTCTTTTTCTCTCTCCCTTTTATACTAAAAAACGTATCGCGTTTCGCGTATAGACGAATACACATAGAAAAGTGTTTATTTATTTTTCTTTCGTTTTGCTTAATCGTTTCGCAGTATTTGTCAGCTCTTCTTCTCAATCTCAGAGCTTACATATACCATTGTATGTTGCATGCTGAGCATCTAGAACGCTACTACATTGCGGATGGCAGGTAACGGCGAGTTAACGGACAAATCAGACAAGCACCGTATAATCACGAATAACGTGTCTCTCGTGATATTCGATGATAATATTTCTCGGAGAGGGAAAACAATCGTCAAGAATTGGCGACGATGGAAAAAACAAAGAAACAGAACCGTGCAATCGAGAGGAACGTCGGAAAGGAGATGAATGTTAACGAGTCGAGCCCGAGGCTGTCAGCGGCTCAACGCTAAAAGGGCTTCTTCGAAAGTAGGAACGAATACGAAAATTCGTGATAAGTGTTACGTTATAAATACGAGTTAGAGTCGTGTTATTTCGCGACAATATATCGGGAGAGATATCGAAAAACGGTGGATCACAGACTGATATGCCTCGTGTTACCCCGGGCTCTGTCTCATCGATCAAAATGGTGGAAAGAACGAGGGAAAAGAAATTCGCGATAACGAATACTACTATCTATCCGACGCGCGAAAATCGAGGGCAATTCGGTAAACGGAAATGGAACCTGTCGCGCGTTTCTTGAAAACGAAGTGAAAGAGAAGGGATCGTCGTCGAAAAAACGAGAAAAAAGAAAAATGAACGAATTTCGAATTTTCATGATCGATCACCGGGGCGAGAGAAACTATTCAGATAAAAGGTCAGGGTACCGCGTGTCGTTTGACCATCACTTTCCGTTACTTTGTAGAAAAAATGCATTGTTCTTGCAACGTGGACGCGAATCTACTGTAACTTTTTTTGCGTGGGTTTGCGGCACACTGGCTATACACAACGGATATGTACAGCGGCTTTTATCAGTTTTTTTTTTTCCTTTCATTTATTGTTATAAGGTTTCACCTAGCACACACGTCTTAAACACCATTTACTAAATCCCTCGTTTATAACTCGTCAACTAGTGTACGTTTACGTTTTTTTTTTCCTTTACTTCGTTAATTATGATTATGTATGTTTTTTTTTTCGCTTTAAATCCACCGTACAACTACCCGGAACGCAACGTGGCGGAGCGACGCGGCTCCGCCGCACGTCGGCTCGCTATTTCTCTATACTTTTTTTTTTTTTTCTTTTAATATTTACTTTATACGTACGTATTATATCGCATCGTTTAATTCTTTCCCTTTTTTCTTCACCGTCTTTTACTTTCTATGTCAGTTTTTTTTTCACCTTTGTTCCGCTCTCATTCTTTCAGTTCAACTCTCTCGCTCGCTCACTCTCTCTCTCTCTTCATCTTTTTCGCCTACACCTCGTTCCGAAAAAACCACAGAGCTCGATCTCTACATTTTTTATACGTCATTTTTACTGTTTTTTTTTCTCTTTTTTTTTGCCATTAATTACCCAATACCGATAAACACCGACGAGTTCAATGTTACATTCTTATTACAAGAGAGGAGGATTTGTTTGTTTACTTTTTTTTTTTCCGTTTAAAGAAGTTCTCATATCTCGATGGGGCGCAGGGTTGTTCCTTTTTTTTTTTCCAC